GGCGCCTGGGCTTTTAAAGTTTCAATTGGTTTGATTGTCTGTTGCTTTTTCGTTTTGACCTTTCGAGTTGTTTACGTTTATTGTTTCCGACATTCATTCTTGAATCGTTTTCATATTCAGCCTAAAAACTACTTTTTTTGTTCTAGTTGTTCAGCAATTAAACTTTTTCTTAGTTCCGAGTGGCTGTTCGGATATTTCTTTTTCTCAACATTGCGATAACCAGTAGCAAATCTGCTTCTACGGCCCAAGTGAATTTGTCATTGGCAATTCTGCCTTGTTGGGGCTGTCTCTTCTGTTTGCGTTGCCTTGTAATCTGAGATTGATTCTCTTTGTCATCTACTTCTTTCCTTTTAAACTTTCAGCCTTGGTTTAAATAGTTCAAAGGAGTTGATTGTTTTTAACTTAACAGTTTCTCTTTTGATACTTGCTAACAGGTACCCGTTTGCTAGGAAGTTGTGAAATTTAATAGATTGATTCAACTTAATCGGTATTTTTGTTGTTGTCTTATTTGGGTTTCCGGGATCTAGGACGCAAATTGTTAAACCAGCGTGGAGGGTGTCAGTTTTTCTTAGATCAGCCTATTGTGCAATTTCTTTCTCACCCTTTCATTCTCCTTACATAAGGAAACCGTATGGTGTTTACGCGCACCTGCATGGAAACTGTATTTGATTCATGCACAACCCATGCGGATTTGCCGTAAACCCGGTATGGTCTCAGTTCCGTGAAGTAGCATTTAAAACTAACGCCAGAAAATGAACTGGACTTCTTACAACTTGAATTTATTAGTATTAGCTTTCTTTATTCCGGCGCGCATTGCATTCAATTTTCCTGGTTCACGTGTGGAGTTAATGCTCTTTTATTGTTTGTTCTTCTTGGTAAGTTTTTCCTTATTATTATCTAAACATTCCTTGAGAATTTTGGTATCATTGATTTCTTCTCCTTATCCTTGAGCTTTTTTTATAATTATCTTTTGGCATGGTATTAGTATTAATTTAAACTGTAATCTATAATTTACGTAAATTTATAGATAAGAATAATAACTGTGAGTAATCCGTTAGCTTTCGGCTACATCCGCTTCTCATAATAATAAGAGAATGTTCATTTTGTCTGGTCTTGTTGCAGTCTTCCCTATATTAGTATATTAATATATGATTCTTCATATAACTGTGAAATTATTCCATAAAAATTACCAGTGAATAATGCAGAATCAAAATTGAACGAAAGATATTAAATAAAAAAATTTGTATTGTGAAAATACAAAAAAAGTAAAAGTAGGAATCATCCATAGGAGAGCCGGTAACAAAATGTCGAATCAAGGTGCCCATTACCGACGAAAAATTCGAAGGTCATATCTTTGACCGAAAAGCCACAATTTCATCATATTGCTGCTGGTCGTTTATCATTAGATCAGCGATATTAGCGTTGGCAAATAATCCTATTCATTTTAAGTTAATATTAACGTTTTGTTCTAAGGGAGCATTCAGCATCAGATTTCGAATTACATTTAAAGCTTAGAGTTATTTATTAATAATTTACGATCCGCCCGGCAAAGTTACTTTCTTGTTCAATACCTATAGAACTTGTCAACCGTAAAGTCATAAACGCAAGAGAACATATTGTGAATTCTCATATTGTTGGATCTCTCCAGAACTTGAGTATTGAAGGTTTCTCTCTTCCGGTCAAACGTGACAATACAACCTAGTGTAAATTGGTGTTAACCGAAAGTTTCTTCCAGCATATCTCTACAATTGTTTAGTTGTCACAAGCGTTACTTACCTCTGAGGAGAGTCCATGCTCGTGGAGCATTGTCTGTCTGATTTCGTTAGGTCTGTTATCTGTTACACTAAGAAGATAACATATTCCATTGGAAGATAGTGATTCCTACAAAGATTAACGTTAAGTTAATAGACCTTTAATATTATCTCGGTCATCCCAATAAGACTAGACACAGACAGATAGATTCTATGGTAACTTGTTAACGTACTGGTCAATAATTGACTCATGAAATTTTCATCTGCCTCTGAACTTGTCATCATACATACAGCTATCAATGGTAATGTTCTATCAATCACTTCTTTTCCATCGATTCCCCCTGCCCATGCCCTTTCCAACATATCTGGTGAATTGACATCTTCGGATTGAGTGACAACATAAGGCGGGTTGAAGCATATGATATCGACATTGTGATTGAGACGAGGCAGTAACCCAGCCATCAGGTCGGTAGTTATTGGGTCTAAAAGCACCTGTTATTAATATTATGTGAATTAATAAATCGGATATAAAATACTATAGTAAATCAAAGTAAAGCATATAATATTTACGTTATTCTTCATACCAGTTCTATAAGTAATAGTTGATGCATATGGGTTGATGTCTGTGCACAAAAATACTTATAGAAAAGTATTAGCGGACAATGTATGTAATCTTGAACTTAGCAGATTAACAGTTTTCTGAATTTACAAGCATATCCATCGCCAATTAGCTGGGCAAGAAATGTCGAGATACATCCACTTCCTGATCTACGTGGTCAGCGATTGTTATTAATCCATCTTTTGACGTGAATAGTTGGATTTGATAGTCTGCTCTCTCCCGACATATCTATTGCATTCTATTCACTGATGATGTAAAAGGTAATATTTACCCAATTTCCAGACATATCGTAGGCTTTACTCTGTTCTTAATAAATTCTGCTTCTTTCTCAAGAGCATCAAGGAAGAGAAATGTATCCTCTTTGACAATTAATTATATAAGTCTTGCATCCATGACATGACAAAAGTTATCATCGTTATTGTACCTGATGGTTCATAAACATGTTCATAGTCGTCCGCGGTTAAATGATCAAGATTTGGAGTTGGTAGCATGATAGGCATTTGGACTGTGGCTTGGCCAGCTGCACAAAAAATTGTTGATCCGGTAAGTATAGTATATCTATAAGAGTTCATAATGGAGTATGTATATGTTACATAATGTCGTGTTTATTAGAAGAGAAGCTACTGTGAAAGGTATAGGATTTGGTGTCTTGTTTTAACTGAAACAAATAGTCAAAAACATTTATTTCGACAATACATTGTGGAAGACTTAACATTAACTGTTAAATTGCTTTCACAAATATTGAGGACTCATTTGGTGTGTCTAGTATTGGGCACTTGGAGATGCATTCGCCAAATTCACGTTTAGCTCAGTGAATACTATTGGCCGGTATAATTACGATTTGTATTCGGTTGTCTTCTCATTTATCTCAAAATCTTGATTCTTAGTTGTTACTTTTTGCTTCGAACTTTTTTGCCAAAAACTACCTTTCAAGCGCCTGCTGTTCTGAAATTGTTGTAGTTGGCTGCCTCGACAGACGTAATTTCTCCGCTGACTGGGTGTTGGAGTCTCTGGCTGCGGAGAAGTAAATATTTTATCTTTTCTCCGCTCAGTTCAGCCAGTAGTTTTATTCCATCATGTTGGCTTTTATCGCGCTTCACTTGCGCATTATTTCAGTTTATCAACATAATTATTATTCAGGTAGTGATCGATTTGGCTTGTTACTCTGTCATAATGCGTGTGCTAACAGTAAGTTATTAATAATAACAGACTTTGGAAAGATACCCTGTCTTCATAAGAGAAAGCAAAAGTAAAAATTATTCTTAATCGATGTTTCCTTTGTCTCGCGGTACCCTAGAGGATATTGGGAATAAAATGCACCATAATAATAATAACTTACTTGCTTTACAAAAAGAATGCTTTAAGAAGAATTACGGAGAAACAGCAAGTCGCTAGCATTGTATAACACTGATAAATTACACCAAAGACCGAATCAATTATTTTTACCAGTCATGTATATATGTAACGTCTGAGACGTTCATATTCATGTGCACTCTCCCCTGGCATAAGTCATGAGGCGGTTCTAAAATTTACAATGTAAATTATACAAAAAACCTTTATTTTATTCCAACTATTCCAACCAATATCACTCCGCCAATTATTCAAGGTATATCCTTCAATCGTTAATTAATCTTTCTATTGATTCCAATATTTCCGCAATTAAGAATTAAAAATTTTTTTTGTGCAAACACTGACAATAATTTTTATGAGTTTGAAATTAGTTGACTGTGCTTTGAAAAAACAATAACAGAAAAATTTGATTATTTATCTCACATGTAACAGTATCAGTGTTAATACTATGGGGCATGCTGCAACAAACCAGACCGAAGTGAACATTCTGAATGAGAGGCTGACATTCAAATTGAAATAAGCTTTTATGTGACATGAAAAATAATAAAAAAGTAAGATTATCTCTATATAAAAATATAATATGAAACTAATTTACATTAAATTCACAATGGAACCAAAGAATTACAGTACCATTAGAAGTACCGTATTTCACCGACACGAGTACCCCGGGTATTCCCCTTGTTCCTTTTAGAGAAAGGCTAAAGCGGAGCAGAACGTGATCCTGTATTTGCAGTTTTATTGGCTGCCATACAAATTTGACCAATGGAAT